AGCAGATCAGAGCACGGGAAAAGACTGGCATTAACCAGAGATCCATCCTAACATCTTATTTCACTAGGAACATGGTTTAAATATTTAAAGAAGAATGTCATGTGGTCCATTGGTGAGCCGTTTGGACAGCGATCTCAGGCATGAGTAGTAAATAGTATTAGCTTAGTAAATATTCTCATTTTTAGCATCTAGTACCAGAAAGAAGCAATTAGGTGAGGAGGACCTTAACACAGTTCTACAAACCCTTTTTTAGCCTTTTGTTTCCTGCTATACTAAATAATTATTTGATTTTCTTCATTTGTACTTTATGGAGCTAATTACATTTTCTAGGAAATAGTATAAAAATTAAAGGTAATTTTTAATTATAAAATGTTTCCTTGGAAACACTATCTAGTATGCTAAGGTATACTTTGTTCCAAAATACTTAATTTCATTTACAATGAAAAATTAAAGATGGAGCACAGCATAGGGCAATTTGGAAACTGTCACACTAATTGCCATGAGAAAGTTAATTTTTCACAATAGACAACTGACGGTGAACATCCAATTAACTTCTACACAGTAATTTAACAGCCATCCTGAGAAAAAATTATTTCATTTTATGACCAATAATTGGTCACTGGCACTACACATTTTTTACATTTAGAAATTTATTTAGAAATTATATATATTTTTTTAATTTGGAAAGAACACAGACTAATAAAGTCTACATACCGAAATTATTGTATGGTTAAATGAAATGTTTTATTTATATTGCAATTTCGACACATTCTTTTAGTGGGATTTTATAACAATGCTAGAAAAAAACGTTTTACATTTTAAAATGTGTAATTTATGCAAAAGTTTTTATATAAATAATATTTTCTATAATGTTTTTCTGTAAGATTATACAAAATCAACATAGATCTTGAAATCATTTCATTATAGTGACAAGTCTGTCACTGGAGTATTTAATGTAAAGTAAACCTTTGTCTCATACACTTTATAACATCTTAGTTATTGAGGTTTTATTATTATCAAAATTTTCTATTTGCTGTAAAGTATAACTGATGAAATGAAATCTAGTGTAAACATTTAAAAGGAAAAACACTAATAATTTTATTTAATCCATTATTAATGAAGGAACAAGTAATTTTATAACTAGATCTGGTATAAACATTTTGATCTTAAAATCATAGTGTATAAAAGAGACAGTATGATTTATATTCAAAACATTTCTTTGTTTTGTAAGGTTTCACATAGGTTGCTTTTAAATTAAAAATAAAATACTCATCCAGGGAGTAAGATATGCTGTATCATCTTTTATCCTACAATAACCTTAGGAGCTAAGACTTACTTCAATAGCAGTTGTACAGATTAAGAAGTTGATGTTTGATTGTTTAAGGGCACAAGCAATCAAGGGCCAGCAGCATGTACCGTATTTGTCCTTTTACTTTCGTGACAGCCAGGAGTATGCAAGACCACATGGAGTTGGAATGGTAGTTAGGAGGCCTTAGGAGAAAGGTATTGACTTGGGTTTAAAGTTGTAACAAATGGAGGAGCTCACTAAGGATTCTGTGCTGGTGGAGGAGTGTGATGGGATATTTATGCCGGCAAGTCAGCTGAGAGGTGAGCTGGGTCACACAGAGTGTGGGTGGGAAGAAGCCATGGTTGTTTGCACTAAGAAAAGCTAGAGAAAGTCTGGGACGTGCTCAAGGGGTCAAATGGTTAGATATTGTAATAGACTCGTAGCAACATAAAATGTAGGGGAAATAACTGTTTTGACTTTGGAAACCAAGTTCAAAATATTTAAACACAGGAAGTAGCCAGGCACTCAGAGCTAAGATCAGTTAGGAGGTAGAGATGTTGGCATTATCTGGGGAAAAAGTGATCTTAAGGAATATTTTAAAAATTCCTTTTTCTCAATTGTTTGTGTAGATTTTAGAACTTACTTGCCTTTTACTGTCTTACCTCAAATTAGCAACCTGAGTAACTCAGGCTCTTTCTAATCTCTTGTTTCATTTCTTCTCTCCATGTGGTTGGCTCCTTCCCATCCTTTAGGGCTTGCCTGCCTACTCAGTGAAGAACCCTTGTCTCTATCTCGTGACCTACCAGAGCACTTACCATCATGATTTTCAGTTTATTTGCTTGAATTCTGTGTCATCCATGAAGATAGTAAAGGTAGTAAAGGCAGGACTTATGTCTGTCTTGCTCATAGTTGAATCACCATAAAGCAAGGCACTTACTACTTTGGAATGAAAGAATGACTACACTGCTGATTCTGAATTCTACAGGTCTCTCCCCTTCCTTCCATCTTACTTTTCACGTTTCTTTTTTCTCTAGCTCATTCAAGCTCTTGTGATTTTCTGAACATTTCAGCCTTTTTACACCTCTGAGCTTTCTCTTATTTTCACTGCTTGAGATGTCCCTTTCACATTTCCTATTTAGGAAATTCTTTTGTAAGCTCAAAACTTGGCTTAATCATCACCCTGTCAGGAGAGTATGTTTAGATGTTCCTTCTCCCATGATTGCTTTCCCAGCACTTACCACATGTGACATAAAGCTGTTACATACCTATTTCCCTTGTGCACTATAGGTGCCTTGAAGTTAGAGGGTGTTATGTTCTGTTTGTGTTCCCACCAAATCCATATGTTGCAATTCTAATTGCCAAGGTGATAGAATTAGGAAATAGGGATTTTTAGAGGTCATTAGGTCATGAAAGTGGAGCAAAGATAGGTGAACTGATACCGTTATAAATAGGCTCAGGGAGCTTACTCATCCCTTACCCTCTTTTTTCACCAGGTGAAGAAACAGTGAGAGGTGTTATCTATAAGCTTGAAGGCTGTTCCTCTCCAGATACCAAATCAGCTGGTGCTTTGATCTTGGATTTTTTTGCTCTTCTAGAACAGTGAAAAAAATTCAGTTGTTTTGTAAGCCACCTATTTTATGGCATTTTGATAAAGTAACCCAAACATTAAAACAAGGAGCATTCATTATTTGAGTTTATATTGTCAGCTCTAGTGAAGTACTTGGTATATGGAAGTAATATGATAAATATTTGCTAAATGAATAAGTGGCTGTATGAACAAAGGGGAGAAAGGCAAATGGTATATTAGAAATAACCAAGGGCATCTAGAAACATATCTAATTATCTATGCCACCTTGAACAAGTTACTTAGAATCTATAAGCACCAATATCTTCACTCATTTGGGCAAAAATGCAGCAACTACCTTTGATCCTCGTAACATTCAAATGAAATAATACATGTTTCATTAGTCAAGATTCTCAAAAGAAACAGAGCCAGTGGAATTTAAGTAATTAGGAGAATTTGAGGAATTGGCTCATACAATTGCAGAGGCTTTGTTGGTCCAAAATTTGAGAGGGTGGGTCAGCAGGCTGGAGACTCAGGGAAAGTTATGGCTCAAATATGAAGTCAGTCCAATGAGGAATCAGGAAAAGCCAGTTCTTCTGATGGGGTGTGAAGGTGTGTGGGGGTGAATTCCTTCTTCTCTGAGGAAGGACAGCCTTTGTTCTAGTCAGGCCTTCAGCTGAAGGGATGAGGGCAACATACGTTATGGTGGGCAGTCTACTCTACTTAAAACTACTAATTTAAATGTAAATCTCTAACCAAACCACCTTTGAAGAAACATCTAGACTACACAAACCATCTGGGCACAGAGGTCCAGCTGAGTTTATGCCTAAAACTAACTGTGATATAGGTAGAACATTTTATAGTGTCTTAGATATTAGTTATGAAATGCTCACTAGCCAGACTTTTTCTACTCTGGTCCTGGGTCCCGCTCAGAGCAGCTCTGCGTATGTTTGTGTAGGGCTATGCTTGCCATGGTCATGCTGGGTAGAACAATGTGATTTTCATATGTCCTCTATTCTGAGTTTGTCTGCAGGCCACACAGGCAAAATTGAGCTCTGTTTTCTACAAACAACATAGATAAGAAAATTTTTAGTGCAAAGTAACAAAAACAACAGAAAAAAATGTGTATGAAGAAGAAACTAGTGTAAAGTCAAGAATCATTATTGCCTTACTCAAGACCATGGTCACTCTTAGTTTCCCCCAAGTAGTTTGAAGATAGAGCTAAAGCATCATGTCCACTCTTTCAGATATAATAATGCAAGAGTCATACTTTTTCTTTCATTTCTACAAAGAGAGTCTGCCTCCAGTCAGAGTCTTGGAGAGGACTCAGTTATATATGGGAGGATTACAGAGCAGATGACTCTAAAGATAAACTCTAATTAGACCCAAGTAGAAAGAATACATCATGATGGCGTCCTTGCAGCTCTGGAAAATTTCTTTTCCAGATAACTGGAAGTCTTTGCTAAGTGCTACCACTTCTAAACAGTTACAGTCCCTTACCATGAACAATGGTGCAAAGGAAGGAAGTTCATATGAGGCGTGAATATCACGGACTTCTTTAAAGAGTAGCATTAAGTGATGGATGTCTCTTACAATATTCATGGCCCCTTCAGACAAGTGGACATTTCCCACTTGTTTTTACCCATTGACTGCTATAGAAAAACCTCGTTTGCTTCCTGTGGAAGATTCATTTTGGCAGAACAAAATTGAATTCAATAGAGAAAAACTGTAAGGGGGTCAAGAAATGAAACATTTGAAGAAATACACTGCCGTCCACATTAGATATGAACTAATATTATATATGCATTTGAGTAGAAACCACTGTAGAACTAAACAAAAACTGACCTACCTCAAAATCTAAATTATTGACATGAGGTAGTATTTGCAAAGGAGGCAAAAAAGACAATGTTTAAAATGCTTTATAATTTTTTATTTAATATCATTCAATCACACACTTTTGTTGTACATAGCATTTCTAGATCTTGCATTTGTCATAGAAATATGCCACAGGATTACTTTCTGATTTACTACCTCTAGATTCATATAAAATATTCCATGAAAAGATAAATGAATTTAATAGTGCTGTTGATTATGAAATTAGAGAAACAGAAAATATTATTTATTAGTATCAGAAAATATATATTTTTTATGACATTACTTTTGATATTAAACATAAACACTAAAATAGAAAAGTAGCCAAACTGGTTTTGCGTATTGCATGTATTTTACCAATACTATAGCTTTCATTCTTGAATAATGAAGTACATGACTCAGCACTATATAATTTAGGCTTTGTTTGAACATTAATTACTATAATCATGAAGGTTACTATTAAAAGCAGAGAGCAGATCAGAGCACAGGAAAAGACTGGCATTAACCAGAGATCCATCCTAACATCTTATTTCACTAGGAACATGGTTTAAATATTTAAAGAAGAATGTCATGTGGTCCATTGGTGAGCCGTTTGGACAGCGATCTCAGGCATGAGTAGTAAATAGTATTAGCTTAGTAAATATTCTCATTTTTAGCATCTAGTACCAGAAAGAAGCAATTAGGTGAGGAGGACCTTAACACAGTTCTACAAACCCTTTTTTAGCCTTTTGTTTCCTGCTATACTAAATAATTATTTGATTTTCTTCATTTGTACTTTATGGAGCTAATTACATTTTCTAGGAAATAGTATAAAAATTAAAGGTAATTTTTAATTATAAAATGTTTCCTTGGAAACACTATCTAGTATGCTAAGGTATACTTTGTTCCAAAATACTTAATTTCATTTACAATGAAAAATTAAAGATGGAGCACAGCATAGGGCAATTTGGAAACTGTCACACTAATTGCCATGAGAAAGTTAATTTTTCACAATAGACAACTGACGGTGAACATCCAATTAACTTCTACACAGTAATTTAACAGCCATCCTGAGAAAAAATTATTTCATTTTATGACCAATAATTGGTCACTGGCACTACACATTTTTTACATTTAGAAATTTATTTAGAAATTATATATATTTTTTTAATTTGGAAAGAACACAGCGATCACAATTTTAAAAGATCAGCATATGTAAGTGACATCAAAGTTCACAGCAACCGTCTTGCAAATCACCTTAACACACTGGTTTCACAGCTAAGGGTAAGCCTCTCTTTGGTTCATAAGGTGTTGTCCTGGAAACCATTTTGATGCAGTCGATAATAGGGCAGACACTGAGACAGAGAGTACAGCCTGTACACGTGTCAGTGATGGTGGGCAGGTGGGTTTCTGGATCAAACTGGATAGCCTGTAAAGAGAAATAAGGAGATTAATGCTACTGCCCACCAAGGTCAAGAATACCCCCATTTTAGCATCAACATTTTTCTCTACTGTAATGGAACTGTACCGAGAAAGCGAAGGCTAGTACCTTAGTGAAACTATAGCAACAGCTGAACCGGTGGGAGGGGAAAAAAAAAAAAAGAGAGAGAGAAACAAAATCCTTTTAAATTAAAAACACAATGTTTAAAATTCCTTAGAGGCATTTTCCTTCATCGTGCATGGAAACATTTCATAACACGGTAGCCCTCCTGTTTTCTTTGTTCTGTGCAGAGCTCAGCTCTTGCCAGTCCTAGCAGGATAGGATGTTCCCTACTCGAGATGTTGGGGTGGTTTCACACATTCTACTTTTTCTTCTCACACATTTTGTGGAAAACTGTTACTCTCACATGGGGCAATGAACACACCTGATTTGAATTAATGTGTGCAGTTTTTAGAAGAAAACAGTTGGCAAAAAGGAGCTTTTTTAAAGTGACGCTTTGAGTTTGAGGACCTCCCAGTCAATTCTAACCATTGTCTCACCACGAAGAAGACAAAGCACTAAATGGAGAGACAGGACAGCTGGCGCCCAGTCCCGGCCCTGACACTCCTTAGCCTTGAGAGCCAGGGCAAGGCTACCAGCTGTGAAACTGTGCAGGATCTGGAGAAATTTTAACTTCCTTCCCCCCTTCCACCCTCCCTCTCTTCCTTCCTTTCTTCCTTCTTTCCTGCCTGTCTGCCTCCCACATAAAGCACTCTAGAATAACCAATGAAGATACCCAGTATGAAATCACGATTGAGGTTTTCTTTAAAAATATAACATAATGATTATGTATGTGTTAGAAACTTTTTAGTAGAAGAAACAATACACAAGTCCTCAGTGGATGATACAGACTTTTCTACCCAGGAAGGACTTCTGGGCAGCTATGTGGGGGACCTGTAGCGGAGGCAGAGGGCAGAGGGCACATGGCAAACCCATCCAGTCTCACCTGCAAAAAACACACCGTGCTCCCACTGAGGCTGGGCGCTAATTTGGAGTGAGTAGGTGGCAGCTGAGGGAAATTAAGAAGGGCAGTAATTGTCTCAGCCCATTTTCTCCTTGAGGACAAGTCTGAAAATCTTATATTTTCAAATAATTTTGTGTCATTGGTTGATTTCCCATTTCATACTTGTGTTAAATTCAATTTAATATACACAGTCATTCATTTGTACCCTTTGGGAATTGACTGCAGGACCTCCTGTGGATTCATGAATGTTAAATTCCTTTATATCAAATAGCATAATATTTGCACTTAATTCATGCCTGTCATTCCCAAATCATTTCTAGATTACTTACAGTAACTAATACAAAGAAAAGTCTATGTGTGTAGTTGTTATACTGTACTCTTAGGGAATAGTGACAAGAAAAAAGTCTGTTTATGCAGATGGATTTTTTCTTTTTCTGAAGATCTATAATCCAATGATGGTTGAATCCATGGGTATGGAACTTACAGACATGGAGAGGTGAATACATTTATTTTGTTGTTTAAAAATTTCTCAAACAAAGTTACATGGAATTATAATTATTTTCTACTTTTATGAGCATAAAAGAGAAAATAGTCATTTCAGAGTAAATCAGGATAGGTTGCTTAATACACATTTTTTGTTTTTTAAGAAAACAATCATATTTGAACAAGATCTATATCTATAGCACACTATAAAATAATTTCTCCACAGGAACTGCTGTTTGTAAAACAGTTTCGATTGCTCATTAGATAATTAAAAATAATTTTTCTTTTTTGCATATCTTTACTTTTAAGTGGCAATTCAATGGTTATTGATAAAAATGAAAGTGCTTATGCTTTAGAAACATTCTATTTTGACGACTTGTAAAAAAGCAAATTTGAAATTTAACTGAAGATTTGTTCTTTTTAGTTTTTTTTTTTTTTGAGGCCAAAAAGTCAAAGAAGGACTTTTCTAATCTTTTCTAAGGCATAATAATGATTTTTCTCATTAAAATGAACCTCATTGTCTATGTTATGCTAAAGCTAGAATCCCAAGGTGGAGCTCTTAAATTCTAAGATTTGAAGCATAGTATGAAAAACCTCAATACTGTCATAGTTGTAATATTTCACTTTTTAAAGATGAGACACTTTGTTATTTAGGTAGAAAGCTCCATTATAATTTCTTAACAAGATCTTATTTTTAGTCTTATACTGTCACATTTTAAATAAAATAACATTGCTATATAGTTTTAGCAGTTTAGTAATTTAAAATAAGTTTTTAAATTTGCTTTATCTAAGCTCTGTATCTTAAAAAAATCCTTTTTACTTTCCCAATAAATCAGTTCTTTGAGGCAAAACTTATGTTTAATGGCAATAAGTTCTTTTAAAATTTATTTCTAAATTTATGACTAGTTCAAGGTCCTAGTTGTGCTAGGTATATTAAAACAGCAGTTGATACATACAGTATAATGAAATAAATGAAAAAACAAAAATACAAGTCCATATGATATGTTTTGAAGAGAACAGCCCAGCTTCAAGGAGTGGAATCATGTGGCAAAAATGCATCTCACTGGCTTTTCCAGCTATGAAAGCATTCCTGGGACATAATTCACAACCAGTTGGTAGGAAAATGCTTTTTATTTTTTACTGCAGTAAAAGCCTGATTAATATAGAATTAAAGAGAATTCTCTGATCAAGTACTTTCAGAGTACTGGCAGTAAATGGTAGCTCTTCTCCTTTCCATAGGTACTAAATATAATACTTTCGTAATATCCGTAATTTTGTGTGGATATCTCTTTTTCCTGGGGCTTCTTCCTCCAATTTTATGAGTAATGAAATGATAGTAAAATAATACTATGCACCTAATAGTGGCACAGATAGTGTAAGTTATGACTTTCCTCAAGAAAAAAAAATCTGTGCGATAAAGATGAAAGAGGAAAAAAAACCGTACTTCTGAGGAGAAACAATACTTGTCACATCTGGTCTGAATCAAATACTTAGAAAGAGAAGATGCTTTCTTCCCCGGAAATCAGAAGAAAGCTGCTTCAAAGCAATTTAATTCCAGAAGATTTTACCTGGTAGCCAGAGTCGTTGCAGGTCATGTAGCATTTACCACAGTTGATACACATTTCTTCATCAATTGTAGCCACAACTTGCTCTATGGTGCTCAAATCACCAAATGCTCCAAGGTGCTGCAGTGCTTTTCCAATTACATCCTAATACACAGGCACTGAGTTATTTCCAGTGGTTATTTTAAAACATTTCCAAGTGGTAATTTGTTTCTATGAGTGTGATGATTGGAAAATACAGTGAATGTTTAAGCTAAAGAAAATTTATTACACTAAAAGATACATTACCCAAAATTCCCTTTAAAGTACTCCTGCTTGCTGTCATGGCTACCTCAATGTCCTCAACTGATTCAAGATATTTATCTCTCACAGTCATTTTGACTTAGAGCAGAGCCAGAAGTTGCACAGTGCCAGATCTGGTGAATGAAGTAGATGAGGACACACCTGGTTTTTACCAGCCTGCTTTTTCACTGGATAGCGCCTGACATAGCATTCATCATATTTTTGATCACACCCCCTAAACACATTTATGAAAAAGGAGTTCCAGAACTGCTTCAGAGGGTAGCAAGGATGGTGGGATTAGTGTGTTCAAAGTGTGTGGGGCGTATTTTGACAGGGATTAATGGCAATGCATCTTTTTAATTTTTTGAAAAATTTAAACATTCACCATAAGTTCTCATCACTCTTTGTATATAATGTTGCACTGTATTAACATAGCATGCTTAGCTTAGAAATATAAGACATAATTAACTATTTTTGAGAGGATTTTTACCTGATAACCTAAAATGGAGTTTCTATGGACAGAAAAAAATATGTAATATCTTTTCAGCTGCAGCAGCTTCCTTTTTCTTACTTTTTAACTTTGAAGGTTCGAGAAGGGAGGTAAAATGACAAAAGGTTATGCACTCACATTAGGTTGCCGGGGATAAGTGGAATGATGATATGAATATTATGAATTTTTATCAATGTATTTGGATTCTAAATTTTTCATTCAGAAAGGTGCTTTGATATCACACTCACCTATCTTGTCTTGAAGAATATATTTCAATATTTAAAAATTCTAATTTATGTTAATTGATTGATTGATCCAATAGTTAAATCAGATAGATGCTCTTTCACTTTTAAAGAACTGGAATTTTCTTCCTTCACCACTGAAGATCTTTCAGGCAGTTACACATCCCTTTGTTCTCCATATTAATTGGAAGTAAGCTGAATATGCGAAGCACAGAGGATGTTTCATCAACAATACGAAACATTTTGTTTCATGAAACAAAATGGAAGAATGTAACAGTGTTCAAATCAGTATGCTGTCAAGATTCTCTGCTTCTGTTTTTAACTCTTGAAATGAGACTCTTTTGTTTGAATTCAAGGTCCATGTTCCAAGAGGTCTTACTCTCACGTAAAGCCATCTTTCTATATTCTCTTTGGTATTCTATTTTCTGCATTTATTTTTATGACCTTGGTTACTCTTCTTTACTTTTTTCTGCTTGAACTCTACATGACAATATGCTCATTACCATGAGCTTTCAAACTGAGACAGAGTTTGCATTATTTATACAGTTCGTTGGTGTACTCTCATGCAGAAGATAGAAAACTTCCAACACTGTCTTCCTTACTTTCTTTTCAACGTGTTGAAGTTTTAATTTCAACTATTCGTAGGTGGGCACTTAATGTCCAAATCAGTATCTCCATTCTGAGTTGCTCTCAGAAGCTCAAGGTTTACATGCATCAGCTGAAGGATGAGTACTGTCACTGGAAATTGGCAATGTAAAATCACCACTCACTGATCTTACCAAGAACACAAAGCTGGATCTTCTATCATATTTCTTCAGCTTTTTATTAGAATTAAGATTTTTCTTATCATGCAGGCTTAAAATTTGAGTAATGTTTCATTGCTCCAATATCTCACCTGTTGTCACATCTTCTGAGTTCTGGACCTGCAATATCTTTGGAATTCTCTTTGTATGTCTACCACCATCTCCAAATATTGTTCATTAATGCATAATTATTAATACATAATTAGTCATTTTTAATACAGTTGTAAGATCCTACTTGGGTAAATTTCATTCTCATATGCTTTTGTTTCTCAATCTACCTTGAAGAATGGTCCCCTTGTAATCAAGGTTGTAAATTTCTCAGTGCACTATTGAAAATTTTGTGGAATGAAGTACAGATTTATCATGTTGACATTTTAGGTTTCCTACCAAGAGGTCTTTTATTTATCTTATTTTTTACTTCCAGACACTATGCACTTCAGTTACTGGTGGATACACTTTTCCAGTGACTCATCTGAAGGTGACCTGACCCATCCAATTTTATGCTAAATCCTCTCTATAAAATACCCTTTCTTTCCACCTGCACTTTGAAAAATCTTATATATCTTTCAAAACTATAGCAAATGTCACCACTTTGTGATGATTTCCTCAATCCTTGCCTTTTTCTAACTAAATGTTAAGATCTTCCTCTCTCTGCCCCATGCACACCTCTTTCTTTCCTGACAGCCTATGATATTTTAGCTATTATGTGAAGTAATAACTTCTGAAATATTTACTATATTCTAGGCCAGTGCCATAATTTTCCTTCTGAAACCTCATTCATTTTATGGATGATGAGGTGACTGCCCTAATAGATATAAAATTAGGTAAGTGATGAAGCAGAGATTCAAACCAGTGCTGCCTTATTTAAATAGCATGATCAGAAGCATGTCTGCTATGCCAACTCGTTCATGATTCTCTAAAATAGTCTGGTTTCCTGTCGTAGATATCATCTACATCTAGTTCCTCATGTTATATTTTTTTAGTAGACTTTATCTTTGCATCATGTAGTGTTTTCTTGTTCCTCTAGATCACTGAAACATGGGCATTTGAATATTGGTTGAAATATGTCTCTTATATAGCAATGTATTAAACATAATATTAGGGATATAGATGGGGTAGGAACTATTTTACTCAATACTTTTATTAATGTTAACATTTTACATAGAGAGGCTAGTCAAGGAATCTGTATATGTTTAATATTTTCTTATAATATTTAACATATCAAATGAATGAAGCAAATATATAGTTATGAAAGACTATGTAAGATAGAAAATAGTTTTTCATTCTAGTAAATAAATAAGTCAAAACAGTTGTTTTAGTGAATCAGATTGTGATGACTGAAATCACCAATAAATATTAAAGTGATTAATTAGAATCCTCCCTAGATAGACACAACACTTATAGAACTTTTGCAAAAGAAGTCTATGCCTAAGGGATTTTATTGTAAGAAACAATTCCATGTTCTACATACATTAAATATGTCTTTTACTTTATATTAGAGAATTAAGAGATTTTTTCTGTTGTCATTTAAAACATTGTTTATTGTGAAACCACATTTTATTCATTCTAAGAAAAGGTCCTTGGAGCCTTCAGAAGTTATTAGCATATTGCATTAAAAATTCATTCCTCATTCACCATAATTCTTTGGGATAACTGTATTTGTTGTTTTCTTTTAATCTGGAGAAGATAAGAGAATAACAAGTATTTTAAATCATTTTGGGAAAGACTATCAAAGATAATAAGGTATCATTCATTATATGTAGATGAAAATGCAGGACATGTTTAAAACCAAAAGCCTGCAGGTATACCACCAGCTTCGAATACCCCTGAGTACATGTCCTGTAATTTGGAGTTTGCTGAAAGATGCATATCATCAGTGAAGCACATATGGCTGTCTAGACCCTGTTGGATAAGCATCCATAGAGATTAGAGAACATGCAGTCATTATTCCACACAGGATTTTGGTATACAAAGGTCAAGCAATATGTCTTAGCCATCCCTGATTACTGGAAATGTTTACGTGTGAATGTACGTGCAGAGAATGTGATGCCAAATCCTTTAAATTAGCGATGACACATTTGATTTTTTTTTTCCCCAGTACTGGGGATCAAACTTAGGATCTTCTGCTTTGCAAGGCAGGTGTGGTGCAGTGAGCTAAATCCCGGGCCCACGCATTTGATTTTAAAATAAGTGTTCAGAGAGAGAGAGTTACAAAAGATTAGAATGGCGGAATCTTTATCAATGATTTGTTCGGGATGATCAAAAGAGTTTTTTCATAAAGATATGTCAGACAATATTTCTGTTTAATATAAAGTTTAGAACCAACAATGAAGAGCTAGAGGGACTTGACCCCATGTCTTATGTTTCATAGCTTCATTATGATTAATATAAATTTATTAATTTTTGACCTTTTAAAAGATAGATGATTGAAGTGTGTTCAAATTGCAGTTGTTATCTGGTGTGTTAACTGTTCTTTCTAGCTTGAAGTCTTTACATTTGATTAGCATCTTTTTCACAATTCCTGTAAGTAGGTGCCCTTCAAAGGCCAGGACCAAGAACCGTGTGCTGTGGGCAGTCGCTAAGTCTTCTAACCTAAGGGATTCACTATTTAAATTATTTGGTTGTAGCTGTTTAATCACTTAGTTATTTCCTTATCTGTGCCATTATTAGTGTCACATTTTCTTATCTTTTTACTCCATATTCACTCTTTGCCTAATAAACCCATCAAAATAGGAAATGAGATAATTTGGCTCACTCTCACTGCATTTATACTGATCTGAATAACTTCTTCCTTTATTAATGCTCCCAAGTCAAAAGTTTAATGATCTTAGTAGAATTCCACAGGGGTTAGGTTTCAATCTTTTTGGTCTATGTATATTTTTTCTCTTATATCATTACAAAACCCTTCCACACTCACCTTTTCTTTCTTTTTAAGAGCCTAGAACAATATTTATTTTTCAGCAATGTGGTATAGTAATCTCATACACAAGTGCTTTCCAAAGTAGGGGACGCACTTATTCTTCATGCTGTGCATAATGCTTTCTGCTGTAGGAGGTAGAGAGGGAGCTGTACACTTAGAAAAGGGGTTGTTGAGCTTGGATTGAGTGGATCTCTGGTGAGGACACAGTTAATTATGCTGAGATGGGAGAGAAGAGAGAAATTATGATTCAGGGAATGAAGTAGCAGGTTGGTCAGAAAAGGCCAAAGACACAAGTAAACCAGCAGATAGGATAGAAGCAAGTAAATGTGGCAAGAGAGGCGAAGGTGCAAGGGCAAATTTAGTGTGAGACAGATGGGTGCAGACTGTGGGGCCATGGTGGATTGAGTGTA